TCTCTCCCCGTACTAGGACTTTAAATGGATGATAAAGAACATGACAAGAACTTCACTTTTAACACGTCAGGCTAAAAATGTGTGTGAAGGTGAGTTGTGTTCCTTTGCCTTCAGTCTCTTTGGATGCCAGGTTTTCACTGGAATGGTCTGAAAATCTGAGACCAGTTCTGTTTATGAGTGTCCAACTCAGAACCTACATTGGCACGAAGCTGGTTGCTAATGCTCTCAAGGTTCCAAGAAGTTTTGTTTTTTTTTTTTTTCATTAAAAAGACAATTCAGTATATAAAAATGGCATTGGGGATGAACACTGGATCTTCTCTTCTCTCTTTCCACAAGCGTGAGTGACCAGGATTGGCAATAGTCTTATTGAATGAGTAAATTCTGGTGGCAGCGCTTCTTCTCTTCACTTTGCAAACGCTGAATGCCTGCTATGGACCAGATACTGAGAGAGATAAACTGCAAATGGATTATACTCAGAGCCACTTAAAATAATATCTTACTTGTCAGCAGGCAGTGTGGTATGATTTAGAGATCATGAACTTTGGACCCAGCGAGTTCTGACTTTGAGTCCTAGTACTACTATATCCTGGGGCTGTGTGGGCTTAGAACAAAGTATCTATAAAAGACATAGTTTCTACTCCATGAAAATGGGCAACATTTGATGATAACAACATCTGAGATTACATATTAATATTAAATGATATCATGCACATAAATCACTTTGTACATTACTAAGCTTATAGTGTGCACTTTAGAAATGTTATCATCACTATTATTATTATTAGTTTTATTGATTAGTGAATAACAGCTAAAATGTACTTTCACATATATTTTATAATTTAAAAAATAATTCTATGGAAAGAATTATACTACTGCTATTCTTAAGGAGCTATGGTGGTATAGTGGTTAAAGCATTTGGCTGTTCACCAAAAGGTCAGTGGTTTGAACCCACCAGCCACTCTATGGAAGAAAGATGAGGACTCTGCTTCTGTAAAGATTTGCAGCCTTGGAAACTCAATGGGGGTTGCTGTGAGTTGGAATCGACTCTATAGCAGTGCGTTTGGTTTTTTTCTTTTTTTTTTTGATATATTACAGATAAGTAAAGTAAGACCCAGAAAGGTTAAAGATCTTCCCAAGTTTGCACATGTAAAAAGTGGTTGAGTCAGGATTTAAATAGAGTCTTCTTGATTTCATGTTCAACACCTAGACTCTATATCATTAGCAAAGTCAATGAATCCAAACAGGAATCATTTGGTAAATTTATTGATTATGACAAGTTTACCATAGTCATTGATTCTTTGTTTTATCCAATTGCAGCAATCTCTCTCACATCTCTGATGATGGTCCTACACTTTTTTCTCATCTCCTAATTATCCCAGTGAAGAGTATGAACAGTTCCTGTAGAGATTGTGTAGTAGAAAATGCAGGGAATAATAGCTAGATGGACTGTACTCTCCATCACTTATATGCTATTTGACATAATGAAATCTACTTAGTAATTTGCTCAGTTATATGAGGATACTAATATCTTCTCTAACTACCTATTAGTGTCATTGTGAGGTTCAACTATCATAACATGAAAAAAAAGAGACTGTCATATATAGATAGATAGATAGATAGTGCCTAAGGCACTTGACTGCTAACCAGGAGGCTGGCGGCGGTTCATACCCACAAGCCACTCCTCGAAAGGAAGATGGGGCAATCTACTTCTGTAGTGATACTGCCTCAGAAACCCAAGGAGAGGTCACTATGAGTCGGGTCCGACTTGATGGCACATAACAACAACAACAACAAATATATATATATATATATATGCCACAGCTGATTCTTGTAATATTTAAAGACTAAAGTGATAAAAAGAAATGAAAAACTGAGATTTCTTCTCCACTTTTCTATTAAGTTTTGACTCCACGTCTCTGTTTGCCAAGTTCGTGTTACTCAGGTTTATAATATGTGCCAAGATTATGTCCAGGGAGAATATGAAGTAGTTTGCAATGCAAAACATAGAAACCTGCAGAGTCTTCATGCCTGGCTGGAGCCATCTGGAGCTGATGGAAGTGTAGAACCATACGATGGCGAGACCTCAGTCCAGGCAGCAGATACATGGGGTTAAATCTCAAATACCCACAGAGAGTACACAAGTAACGTAGGTGTGTGAGAGGGAGGGTAGGCAGTGGTGGCAACTGAGAATTGGAAAGGAATGTCTCTTTAAGACAGTCAGACATTCACTGCATACCTCCAGTTAATTAGTGTCTTAAGTGAACACAGGCTTTTGATGCCAGTGTAAATAAGATATTAGAATTCTTAATTTTTAAAAAATACAATTTCCCAATTTTTAGAGCTTTATGTGGGTCTAACAAAATATGTCTGCATATCAGATTTGATTCTAAGATCATACATTTGGCATTTTGGGGCAGATTAGCTAAATATACACATCACTTGCCAGACATCTGGCAATGAACATAATAAACACTATAACAAGCTACTAAGTCTAACTCTGTCCTTTCCAGGTCACATCTCTGACCTTCATCCTAAGAGTGTCTGGGAATCCAGTCTTTCACTTGTAAATTGAATCTTCCAGTTATGTCCTGGATGTTATCGTTCTTGCTTCTGTCTAATCCTAAATTATCTGTGATAAGTTTCCTTCTCCTACTTCCTCACTACCTTACCTTTAATTTTCATCTGTGATTTTTTAATGTCGGTATAGATTAGTGTAAAACTATTTACCTTTATAGGATGTACACCTCCTCTGCCAAACTTGCTGAACAATGAATTCTTATGAAGCAGATTACATTATAGAGGAGGGTACTGGAATGTGTTGAATATACACCAAGGCCTAATCCCTACCATCTGAATGTGCTCAGTCCAAAGGCATAGAAAATATTGCAACCAATAACCTATTTACTTACTGTCATCGAATCGGATCTGACTCATAGCGACCCCTCCTTGGGTTTCCCAGGTGGTATCACTACAGAAGTAGATTGCTCAACCTTCCTTCTCAGGAGTGACTGGTGGGTTTGAACCAGAAAAATAAAGATGCCATTATGGGAGAGGAAGGCTAGTACTTACTAAGAAAATGCCTTTGTTAACCTCAGGATTAATGGGGGAAAACAAATTTGGAAAGACCTAAAAGTTCTTTGAGGCAATGGCTAGCAAGCAAATAAAGTATTGCTGTTTAGCATCAGAGTGACAACTGGAGAAAAATCATTGAAAGAATCAAGGTGAAATTGTTAATGACAAAGTATAGAAATAAGTTTTGGTCTCATTGCCTGATTTTTTTCTTTCTTCACCTTCTACTCAAGTGGAGTGAATTTGTTGCCTACTTCTTAGTTCCCTTTTTGGTGCTTCATTTCCAATTCTTATTGAAAATAAGTGTCTAAATTCCTTGACCCTCTTTATCATTTATTTGAGATCTTCTGTATTGTTATGACTCATTTTTTATTGAGAGGCATGGGAAGAAGCTATTCTAAAAAGGATCTGATTGATTTACCCATATCTAAAATGAGCAAATAGAACCAATATCTAAAATGCATCTCTCTCTGCCCTGTATTTGACTCAACTGAGTGTGAAAACAGCTATATTGCAACATTTACATTATTAAAATGTGCTTATAAAAGCAGTTTTATGATTCTTGGGTTACTCATTCCAGGGTTAGCTTCTTGCACTTGAAAAATTACACAGAGTCAAGACAGTGAATGGGGCTAAGAGGCTGTGTTCAGATTCACTTGGAGTAAGTAGTAGAGTGAATAAAAAACATTCCCTTCCCACAGGAAAGGTGTTTTGAGGTACCTTGCTCCCTCACCTCAAGAGGCCTCAAGTTGAGTGATGTCAATAGAGCTATGTGGAGACTTTAATAATGCCTATTATAGTTAAGAGGAGCTCTGGTAGTATAGTGGGTAAGGCATTTGTCTGCTAACCAGATCAGTGGTTCAAACCCACCAGCTGCTCTGCTGGAGGAAGATGAGGTAATCTACATCTGTAAAGATTTACAGCCTTGGAAACTCAGTGGGGCTCACTGTGAGTCAGAATTGATACAAAGGCAATGGATTGTTTTTTATTATAGTTGGGAAGGTGGAGAGTGAACCAGGTCTGACTCCCACGTAGAATTTCTAATGGATGAGAAAAGGGCCAATAACTGTTTTGGTTGGCGGTAAAGTCGGGAAAGTCTTTGATGCTACAGAGGCTTTGGGGCAAAAGATCAAAGGGATCATCTGTGTGCCAAAGAAAGGCCACAGTGAAGTAAGAGCTGGTACAGGGTTATCCTAAGTCTTATCTAATAAAGCTATCAGAGGGACAAATGGGCCAAGCAACATGATGCTGGGAGAGGATGCTGGATCTCCAGAGGCTGAAAGTGGTGTAAACTGCCTTTGAAGGAGATGCATCAGACCAGACTGGAACCTGTAGGCCTATGGTGTCTCTGAAGAACCCACACATTTTCCATGTGAAAAGAATCAGCTCTTTAAATATTTGCCAGGCTCAAAGAGCATGAACCTGTCTTGGGACAGTAAGAGCTTTCTTATATGCCTTTCTCTTTCTCTATCCATGGCCCCAACAGAAGCCTATAGTCACTGCTGACATATTGGCAGAGGAAAGTCAGGAAGAAAGAGAAGCTGCCCATAGTCCTTCTTCAAGCACAGGGTTCATATGAAAGAAGCCTTGGCTGGGACGAAGAGAAGATTGAATATTAAATGAGGTTCCAAGATTTTAGTATTCATGGGAATGGGGTTTCAAATTAGTAAATTTAGTTTCTGTTCATAACAGAAAGTGGTTATAATACATTTATTACTAAAGAGGTTGTGAGTCTGCTGGAATTTTCATTCAATGGCAGGGGTAAATAAATTTGAAAGGACATGAGGAAACCAAAATTAAATAGAATTTAGGTCACATTCAGGACTCACGTTTGTAAAAAAAAAATCCATTGCATATGTTAATTACCCAGATTTTACCCTTAAATCCCACTCTAGATGGTGTCTCTCTCAATGGTAGGCACCGAAGAGGAGATGGAAACAACCAATGACAGTGCAGGTGGGGATTTCATCTTAGTGGGCTTCTCTGAGCACCCTGAGTTGGAGCTGATCCTCTCCCTCTTTGTCCTGACATTCTACACTATAACTCTTGTGGGTAATGTGACCATCATCCTACTCTCTATCCTGGACACTAGACTCCACACACCCATGTACTTCTTCTCAGAAACCTCTCTGTGCTTGACCTCTGCTTCACCACCAGCATTGTGCCCCAGATGCTGGTGAACATGTGGGGAGGCAACAAGAAGATCAGCTATGTTGGCTGCATGGTCCAATACTGGGTGGCCTTGGCACTTGGCTCCACCGAGTGTGTGCTTCTTGCAGTAATGGCAGTAGACCGCTATGTTGCAGTGTGCTGGCCTCTGCGCTATGCTTCAATCATGTACCCCAGGCTGTGCCACCTCCTGGCAGCAGCTTCCTGGTCCTCAGGCTTTGCTAACTCCTTTCTACAGTCCTCAATGGCCATGGTGCTGCCTAAATGTGGAAACCGGCTTGTGGACCATTTCTTCTGTGAGCTACTGATAATTGTTAAACTGTCCTGCGTGGATACTGGCCCAACAGAGTCCAAAATGTTTATTGCCAGGCTAATCATTCTGGGGATGCCTGTCTCTGTCATCCTTACGTCTTATGTGTGCATTGCCAGAGCAGTAGTTAAAATGTGCTCGACAGAGGGAAGGAAAAAGGCCTTTGGGACTTGCGCTTCCCACCTAATGGTGGTTTCACTTTTCTATGGGACAATTATGTTTTTGTACCTGCAGCCAAAGGACCACTACTCCCAGGACCAGAGCAAAGCACTTGCTGTGCTCTACATGATTCTTGCACCTACTCTCAACCCCTTAATCTATACTCTGAGGAACAAAGATGTGAAGAAAGCAGTCAGGAAGGTGATGGGGAAGGAGCAGGTATAAGGAGATCAAGAGCTTGAAGAACAGGTGAGTCAATTGCAGGCAATGAAATGTTGAGTATATTTGTTTTTATTGCACTTGTTTCACTTTTCTATGAGGTGCAGTGAAACATCTGCTGAGTCTTAGCCTTTCGATATTTCTGGGGTCCTTTTAGGGTGCAAATTCACTATGCCACCAGAAATCCTTAGAAGGAAATTAGCTATTCCTTAATCTCTAGTCAAGGAACTTCTGATTGGCAAGTAATTCTGGATCCTACTGCCAATTCTTTTCTGTTCTAAATATATATAGATTTTTAACTTATTCAAATGCCACCAAATATACACCCAGATCTTATAATAACAAGAATGGTAACTTTACTACATTTATTAAGCAGCTACAAATCCTTAACAGCTTCATCATCATCATTAGCTCACCACTATCAAGATAGTTAGAACATAGTGAACTGCAGAGGATTTAGTCAGTAACTTCCAATGGAATGCATGTTTGTTGTGGATAAATACGTATGAAATAAGATCAAAGAATAAAAAACAATGAATAGACAAAGACTAGATAGTATATCAAGGACTCCTGCATTTTGGAACTGAAATGAACCTCATGGTCATTCAAGGCAAGACTGTAGAATGCCAAATTTTATTTAGTTTAGAACATATTTCAAGAGGAGATATTTCATCAATAAGAAAACAATATTGTTGGGAGGGTAAGAAGGTTTATATATTTCAAGATCATAAAAATGATAACTGAATAAAGAGAACTCAAATAGACAAAAACTAACTGATTTCAATGAGCCTATAAACAGAGATCCCTACTCAACCTCCAAGAGAAATGAAAAATCAAAAAGCACTTCTGATTGCAGAAATGAAAGCAAAGCGTGTCAGTTGGTTTCCTTTATATTGTTACATCTAGTTAGTTTTCATATACCAAACATCCTCTGATTCCAATGTCCGTATGAGCCAAAGATGAGGAAATTGAAGATTTTTATCAACTTCTGCAGTCTGAAATTGACCAAACATGCAATCAGGATGTG